TTGGGCCCCCAGGCGAAGCGGCGGGCACCGAGTCACCAGGCACGACAGTGGGCTCCGAGTCAACTGGCATGACCGCTGGCACTGGGTCAGACATTGGATCGTCTGGCTGGACAGCGGGCATCGGGTCACCAGGCATCAGGTCATTTGGCTCGACAGTGGGCACCGGGTCATCAGGTACCGGATTGTCTGGCTCGACAGCAGGCATCGGGTCACCAGGTATGACAGCGGGCACTGGGTCACCAGGCATCAGGTCATTTGGCTCGACAGCGGGCACCGCGTCATCTGGCAAGGCAGTGGGCTCCGAGTCAACTGGTATGACCGCGGGCACTGGGTCAGACATTGGATCGTCTGACAGGACAGCGGGCATCGGGTCACCAGGCATCAGGTCATTTGGCTCGACAGCGGGCACCGCGTCATCTGGCAAGGCAGTGGGCTCCGAGTCAACAGGCACGACAGTGGGCACTGGGTCACCAGGCATTGGATCGTCTGGCTCAACAGCGGGCATCGGGTCACCAGGTATGACAGCGGGCCCTGGGTCACCAGGCATCAGGTCATTTGGCTCGCCAGCGGGCACCGCGTCATCTGGCAAGGAGTGGGCACCGAGTCACCAGGTACGACAGCGGGCTCTGAGTCAATTGGCACGATAGCGGGCACCGGATCAGGTACCGGATCATCTGGATCAACAGCGGGCATCGAGTCAACTGGCCTAATAGGATCGTCAGGCTGGATCAGTTCATCATGCTGGGTAGAGGCATCAGGCTGAATGCCGGCGTCCGGCTGAGTAGAGGCTTCAGGCTGAGTACAGGCTTCAGGCTGAGTACAGGCTTCAGGCTGAGTACAGGCTTCAGGCTGAGTAGAGGCTTCAGGCTGAGTAGAGGATTCAGGCTGAACCACGGAAGGCAGGTTCACCGGTTTGGATACTGGCAGGATGGTATTGGTTGGAAAGAATTTTCGCTTTTTTCTGGTTTTAACTACTGGAGCACTGCAAGTAAACGCAGGTCTGCAAACGAATGGAGCAGCTGGAGACAGAGAAGAACTGGAGGATGGAACAGGAGAGGGAGCAGTTGCTACAGAGGGCTTTTTTACAGGGTTAAAGGCAGGATAGGTGCAGCGAGTGGGAACAGGGTACTGACATGCGGTAGATAGCCAAGTATACTGGGCTGTAACTGGGGGAGTTGTTGGGAATACAGGAGTAGAGCTTTGAGGAAATAATTTAGAAGCAGGACTGGGTCTTTGTAAGCTGACCGAGGCTGGGTGCAACGAGTCTGTCCATGTCTGCAATATGGGGTTGAACAAAGCTGAGCTTACACAAAGCCTGTCTGACCAATGACTGCACTGCGTTTATACAATCTCTTAGTATCTGTGGTGAACATGTGGAATAACGCTCCAGAAAGTAACCCACATCATCCTCTAATAACCATACCAGGGACTCTACCTGGTCTGCACTAAATGGTGGCAAAAATTCATCCCTGCATTCGGGGAAACCAGATGAAACCAACTCAACACAAACCTTAATCAATGGCTGCACCTCAGAGAACTCTGTGCCCTGATCTACTAGAACAAGAGCGAGCCGTATACATTCTAGCAGTTCATCCCGGGTATACTCCTTCAGAGTCTGATAAGCATACTCTCTGTCATCAACACTAGCAGAGATAAATACTCAACCTCATCCAGATCCATCCTTCCCAGCAACAAGCCAAGATGGCTTCCCTGTGCAGCCACTTCTGGTCAGGATTGGCCTTGGTGTAATGTCAGGGCTCCCAGGTGTGACCAGAGGTATGTGACTGACGCAGGGAAACGCAGACTTCAGATATGTGATAAACAATATAATTTATTAACACTAACCATACAAACATAAACGCAGTGCAATACTAAAACATAATACAGTGCAAACAAACCAAACCAACCACCCACAGATAACAGTACATACAAGCAAGCGTCGTCAGGCAGGCCGGGTCAATATCAATAGGGCAGGTAGGTACAGGGGGAGCAAGCGGAGATGGGTCGGGGTCACAGGCCAGGTTCAGCAGGTAGCTAGCAGCGTAGTACAGAGGGTCAGGCAGAGGGATGGTCAGGGTCACAAGCCAGGGATCAGAACAGGTAGCAAGCAGCGTGGTACAGAGGGTCAGGCAGAGGGATGGTCAGGAGCGAGCCGGGATCAGAGCAGGAGAAGTCAGCAGCGGTTCAGATCAGGCAGGGTCAGCAAAGGAACAGAAACAGGATGCAGGACAGATACAGGGCCCAGGACAAACACAACACCAAGGCAGAGTCTGCAAGTCTGGCCATCCCTTAAATACACCAGTATCATCAGTTCCAGGTGTTAGCTGGCTGAAAGGTTGAGTCTCTGATTGCTGGGAGCACCCGCTGGCCAGCCCTGGTACTGCAGATCAAAAGGCAGGTGAATCCCACCATTGCTGGCCAGTCCATTCCTGACAGGGTATGTCTGACCATAGAGGGGTTGTGTTTGAGTTGGAGAGGGTATGTCTGACCATAGAGGGGGTGCGTTTGAGCATGGAGAGGGTATGTCTGACCATAGAGGGGTTGTGTTTGAGTTGGAGAGGGTATGTCTGACCATAGAGCGGGTGCGTTTGAGCATGGAGAGGGTATGTCTGACCATAGAGGGGTTGTGTTTGAGTTGGAGAGGGTATGTCTGACCATAGAGGCGATGTGTTTGAGCATGAAGAGGGTATGTCTGACCATAGAGGGGGTGCGTATGAGCATGGAGAGGGTATGTCTGACCATAGAGGGGTTGTGTTTGAGTTGGAGAGGGTATGTCTGACCATAGAGGCGATGTGTTTGAGCATGGAGAGGGTATGTCTGACCATAGAGGGGGTGCGTTTGAGCATGGAGAGGGTATGTCTGACCATAGAGGGGGTGCGTTTGAGCATGGAGAGGGTATGTCTGACCATAGAGGCGATGTGTTTGAGCATGGAGAGGGTATGTCTGACCATAGAGGCGATGTGTTTGAGCATGGAGAGGGTATGTCTGACCATAGAGGCGATGTGTTTGAGCATGGAGAGGGTATGTCTGACCATAGAGGACCATGTTGGTGGTGTGGGGGTCCCTTTACATAACATTCAACATAAGTATCTTCATTGGGTGGGGATGATTTTAGAGCAGTGTTTCTCAACCTTTTTTCAGTCAAGGCACCCTTTAAAAATTTGGACAGTCCTCAGGCACCCTTCAAAATTATGGACAGTCTTGAGGCACCCCTTTCTAAAATGTAAAAAACTATTCTAACAGCAACATCCACACATGTAGGACACCCAACATTAGAGGTGATTTATTCTTCTAAAGCAGGCATGTCCAAAGTCCGGCCCGCGGGCCAATTGCGGCCCGCGTTCCAGACTGAAACGGCCCCACAGGTGAGCTACCCAAATATATAACTTACGGCCCCCGGTAGTGATTCCCTGAAAGCTACTGAGGACTCCAGCGATCTCTTGACATCATCAGCTGGCGCAGGAAGGAGAGCCCAAATCTCGCGATGTCCGAGATCTCGTGAGTTTTGGGCTTTCCTTCTCTGTGTGCCGGCTGATGACGTCAATTCCCGCTCAACAGATCCCTGGAGTCCTCAGTGGCGTTCGCAGAATCACTAGTGGAGGGCCGTAAGTTATATATTGGGCAGCTCATCTGTGGGGTCCGGAATGTGGGCCGAGGGATCCCAGGTGGTGCGCAGGGAATTACTACTGGGGCTACCATTTTCCGTATTTTTCGCTCCATAAGATGCACTTTTTCCCCCCAAAAAAGGGGGGAAAATGTCAGTGTGTCTTATGGAGCGAATATAAAGCGGCCGGTCCGGTATTTCTGCCGCCCCCATGTCAGAATACCAGGCCGGCCACTCAGCTGTTGTCTCCTGCAGGGCCTTACCTGTTCCTCGCTCCAGCGCTGCACAGTCTTCCCGCGCTGGCTTCTGTGACAGCCGGGTGCCCACTGCGCATGAGCTTTGCTTTGTGAATGGTCATCGCAGTCTCTGGTCATCTGTACTGTGTCAGCAGTCTCTGGTCACCCCCTGTACTGTGTCCGCAGTCTCCGGTCATCTCCTGTACTGTGTCCGCAGTCTCTGGTCATCTCCTGTAGTATGTCCGCAGTCTCTGGTCATCTCCTGTAGTATGTCCGCAGTCTCTGGTCATCTCCTGTAGTATGTCCGCAGTCTCTGGTCATCTCCTGTAGTATGTCCGCAGTCTCTGGTCATCTCCTGTAGTATGTCCGCAGTCTCTGGCCGTCTCCTGTAGTATGTCCGCAGTCTCTGGCCGTCTCCTGTACTGTCCGCAGTCTCTGGCCGTCTCCTGTACTGTCCGCAGTCTCTGGCCATCTCCTGCACTATGTCCGCAGTCTCTGGCCATCTCCTGTACTATGTCCGCAGTCTCTGGCCATCTCCTGTACTGTGTCCTCAGTCTCTGGTCATCTCCTGTACTGTGTCTGCAGTCCATTAGTTCAGAATTTTTTTTTCCTGTTTTTCGCCTCTAAAACCCAGGTGCGTCTTATGGAGCGAAAAATACGGTATTATTTGGGCTATAATGGATTGGTGCTCAGGATGGCTTGACGTCATCAGACAGTGCAAGGAGAAGGTAAGCCCAAATCTCGCGACCTCCGAGATCTCGCGAGATTTGGGCTTTCCTTCTCCCTGTGCTGGCAGAGTGATTTAACACCTGTTTAGATTTGTCATCCAAGTCACAAAATGAAAAGTATGCCGTTTTCAATAAACTTTTGCATAAAATAGTTCATTTGCATTTAATTTTAATGGTTCATCAGAATGTCGGGCAAAATGGTCGGCCCTCGCACATGTTCACTTCATCAAATCTGGCACTCTTCCAAAAAAGTTTGGACACCCCTGTTCTAAAGCAAACACCTTTTTGCACACTGGTACTGACTAGTATTCCAATGGTTCTCCTCTCCTGCAGTTTCTTTCCATCACTGAGCTAATGTGACCCCAGCACTGATGGAGAAGGGCAGGGGAAGGTCAAACTAGGATGCTGTGCAGGCAGCTGACATCCTCCTTATCAAATGATGATGTCATTGGTTGTCAGGATGCCGGCGGCTAGAAGGTGGTAATGGTGCACAATGAAAACCTGTGGCGTTGTGTAACTAAAAAGGCAGGCTTGTTCCACCCGCTGGCTTGTATACAAGTTGTGGGCAATTTGTAGACATTTTGCCAAGGCACCCTGGTTGAGAAAGGCTGTTTTAGAGACATAAAGGAAATATGTATGTTTTGCAGCACTACTCCTATTGGTTGTCATGCTGATTCTGGCTTGGAAAAAGTACGTAAATCAGGAGTTTTTTTGTGCTTGCTGCATGCTCGTTCTGAACATGCTCAGACATTTTGTTTTTTTTTTAATGCAGAGAATCATCATGGCTGCCAGGTGACTGGCAATTTCAGAAGGAGGCAATGGAATGCATTTGTATTTTCATTCATTAGTCACCTTATTTCAGATCACATGAGTTGGAGGAATGCCTGCTTCCGTCAGAGGAAGAATTTGTTCCTTGGCTGCCAGAGATTGTCTGCTCATTGGTGTCGTGTGGCTCCTTAGTTCTAAGGCCTGAGATATTTGGAGGATGTTCAGTTGCTCGGTCTCTAAAATAACACTGACTGAACCAATGGCTGCGATGGGGTCATTGACCAATCTTAATGGTTCATCCCCCAACCTTCTGACAGTGGGAACAGTGTAATAAAAATGTTCCTCGTAGCTCCATCCTAAATTCATCTAACCATTCCTCATTGATCTGGGTTGACATAAGTTTGGTTTGACTCGGACAACAAACAAAGCGTTAGTTAATTAATTGTTTTTTATTTTTTGTTTTAGCACTCCGATTGTTCTTGTGGGGAACAAGAAAGATCTGCCAGCACGAAGGTAATAATCTTTTATCCATTCTGCTTTCTTCACGTTTTGACCATTTGAGATGAAGATGTTCTATTCTTTCTCTTGTTCAGTCGTCAAGTGTCACCATTAGAAGGTCAGAGGCTGGCAGACAACTGGGGATCACCATTCATGGAAGTGTCTGCTAAAAGCGTAGAGGTAAACCCACAGCCAGTAGGCCAAGCTTTGAAATAATCCAGAATGCTTAATTATAATAAGACATACATGTATGTACAGTTGTGCTCAAAAGTTTGCATACCCTGGCAGAAATTGTGAAATTTTGGCATTGATATTGAAAATATGACTGATCATGCCAAAAAATGCTTTTATTGAAGGATGATGATCATATGAAGCCATTTATTATCAAATAGTTGTTTGGCTCATTTTTTAAATCATAATAACAGAAATCACCCAAATGGCCCGGATCAAACATTTACATGGTACAGGGAGCTCGGGGACACTGCATCACTGGAGCCGAGGTGAGTATAGTTCCACGTACAGTGGGATAATCCACAACAAGCTGCACACAATTTCTTTGCACTGGGTAATGTCAATAAAATGAACAGGAAGGATGGTGAGGACCAGCCCACCGCCGTCCCTGCAAAATAGAATATTATTCAACCTCATGGTCTCCACCTAAACATTAACGAATACTTATCAGTGGATTGGTACTTTAATCTCCCTGGCGGTATGATTATTTCAGATTTTTGGTGCTGAAAGTTAGGGGCGGTGGGGTACCATTATTTTGCATGGAAATATGTAGTTTTTTTATTGTAGGCTGTAATTTTTAGGAATAACTCACTGAAATCTGTCCGAACAAGAGTCTATACTAGTCTCCTAGATTGTAAACTTGAAAGAGTAGGGCCCTCTTACCCCTCGTACGTTGCTTCTTGTTGTTGTACTGTGCCATGTATTGTCCCCCCCCCCCCCCCCCCCCCCCCCCCCCCCCCCTATTGTACAGCGCTGAGCAAACCCTTTGGCGCTATATAAACTCAATTTAATAATAATAATAATAATAATAATAATAATTAAACATCCCGGGTATGATAAAATTTGAAACACAAAATCATAAATTATAATTTAATAAATAATCATAAAAAATAATACATTTAATTCAATAATATAATCAAACGAAAAACACTGAAATGTGAAATATAGCGCCAAGTTCGCACATCGCTGAGCAAAGTCGCAGAATCGTTTTCAGTGTCTGATGACGAATTTCCCCCACGAATCATTATCACTCAATTCTGCAAGTGGTTCTGATTTACTATCGCTGTTCTCTAGCCGATCTAAACCCGCTTTTGACCTAAAGGGACAATTTTTGGACGCCATGGACTTTTCTCAGTTTCCAGGCAGAAAGAACAGACAAAATGCAGACAAGGGACAGGACAAAGCACTCGGGACAAAATGTATGTGAAATGGGTTGAAACAGCAATGTTTTACTATGTAAAATTTGATTGGAAAAAAATTAAAGAAGCCGGATGCCGGCATCGGCCGGAGGAGATGGCCGGGGACGCTGCAGGGGACACATCGCGGGAGCGCAGGACAAGGTAAGCTCTGCAGGGAATCCCTAGGCAGTGCCGCATGGTAAGCCCGAGTGTATCTCGAGGTTACTGCTTTTGGTACTGAAATATTACCCCGAGCTACACTCGGGAATGCCGCTAGGGAGGTTAATCATCATGTATAATTAAAAAATAAAAATGTTTGCGCTCAGGTGTATTTCCAAATATAAGCTGCTAGGACAAATAAAGCCTGTGATACTAAGTTCCAAAAGACACATATCAAATCAATAGTGCAGCGCTAAATTATAAATAATGACAATCACATGACAGATAACAAGATAAGTGTCCAAAAATATAAAATACATCCAAGAAAAATATGTGTAAAAAAAAAAAGGAAAAGAAAAGTCCACCGAAATCCAAAAAAAATAATAATAAAGTCCTGTGCAAATGTAAAAGAAAAAAGTCCAACTCAAGCAAAGTATATAAAATCTTGCAAACAATTCCACAAAAGGCTCAGAACCCAGTTCTTGAGTTGGCTTCATCCACGTGTGGAAGAACCAGAGAAAACAGCTGCTTACCAGAAAGGACAGGACCATTCCCTATCTAGAAGAAGATGAAAGAGAGCACAAAAACCTTGCGCATTACCTCAAATAGTGACTAATTTTATTAATAAGGAAATATACTCACAAAGTGATGGTATAACAGGCATAAGTAACCATAATCCAAACGGTTACAGGTAAATCCAAAAGGGGGGGGGTGAAGACTAACGCGTTTTGAAGGGTGCTCCCTTCTTCATCAGAGCTGGGTTGAGCAGATAGAGACTTCAGTATGGCAGAGTTCCCATGGCAAGGAGATATTCAGCCACTGAGTGTCAGTATTACAGCAGTTCAGCCTGTTTAGCGACTAAATTAGTCACTATTTATTGAGGTAATGCGCAAGGTTTGTGCGCTCTTTCTTTCATCTTCCTCTACAGTTTTATTAAGCTTCCCCAGCTTCATGATAGAGCTGCACAACCTCTGATCACCAGCGGATGAACACACAACACGCTGCTTGTTACTAACGTCTGTTTGATCTGAGTCTGTTAGGAATGGACTGGCCAGCAATGGTGGGACTCACCTGCCTTTTGATCTGCAGTACCAGGGCTGGCCAGCGGGTGCTCCCAGCAATCAGAGACTCAACCTTTCAGCCAGCTAACACCTGGAACTGATGATGCTGGGGTATTTAAGGGATGGCCAGACCCACAGACTCTGCCTTGGTGTTGTGTTTGTCCTGGGCCCTGTATCTGTCCTGCATCCTGTTTCTGTCCCTCTGCCTGACCCTCTGTACTACGCTGCTTGTTACCTGTTTTGATCTCTGGCTTGTGACCCTGACCATCCCTCTGCCTGACCCTCTGTACTACGCTGCTTGTTACCTGTTTTGATCTCTGGCTTGTGACCCTGACCATCCCTCTGCCTGACCCTCTGTACTACGCTGCTTGCTACCTGCTGAACCTGGCCTGTGACCCCGACCATTCTCTGCTTGCTCCCCCTGTACCTACCTGCCCAATTGATATTGACCCGGCCTGCCTGACGACGCTTGCTTGTATGTACTGTTATCTGTGGGTGGTTTGGTTTGGTTTGTTTGCACTGTATTATGTTTTAGTATTGCACTGCGTTTATGTTTGTATGGTTAGTGTTAATAAATTGTATTGTTTATCACATATCTGAAGTCTGCGTTTCCCTGCATCAGTCACACACCTCTGGTCATACCTGGGAGCCCTGACAGAGTCTTTGAACGCAGGAGATAATGGATCTTTGGTGACTCCGTTCCCTATCTAGCAAATGGTCGGTCAGCTCTTGTGGGATTAATTAGGGCCACCCTCTGGCTGATGGATCACCTCTGCTCCAAACACTTGGGCTGCAGTATCACTCAAAAGACAATTGGAAGCGCTTTTATAGTGTAAAACCTAGTAAACGGTTTTATAAAAACAGCTTAAACACAGGAGATGTATATAGAGAGCGTTGCGTGACTTCTTCCCTTGGCCCACCCCTCTGACCTCATCAGTGATGAAATGCGTCAGGCAGGGCCTAAGGGAGTAACATCATTATGCAGCAAGACTGATTGGAGGAACGAGACCAACCTACACTCAAAGGAAGTAAACATTTTTTAAATAAACAGCTTAAGCACTTGCAATATGACAAGGCTGAGACTGGCCATATAGCGCATATACAGAGTGTGCTTTGGCGTTCCTTTGGGCTATCTTAGTTCGGTCCCGCTCTTCCAATCAGTCTTGGTGCGTGATGACGTCATTCCATTAGGCCCCTGCCAACACATTTCATCACAGATGACGTCGCTTGGGGGGATGGGCTACTGCTCTCTATATATATCTCCTGTAAGTGTTTAAAGCAATTTTAAAGGTTCTTTTTTTTTTTTGTAAAATAACAAACATGTCTATACTTAACAGAGCAGTGGGTGCCCCCAGAGCAAGCTGTTTGCTCTGGGGGCACCCGACAGGTAGGAGGAGCCAGGAGAACCTGCAGGGGACCTGAGAAGAGGAGAATCCAGGCTGCTCTGTGCAAAACCATCACACAGAGCAGCCTGGATCCTCCTCTTCTCCGGTCACCTGCAGATTCTCCTGGCTCCTCCGGTCTGTCGGGTGCCCCCAGAGCAAGCAGCTTGCTATAGGGGCACCCACTCCTCCGTGTGTCCATTCACTCACGGAGCTGTGGCCCCCTATCTCTTCATTGGCTGACTGGCTGTGATTGACAGCAGTCAATGAGAAACTGTCTCAGCTAATGAAGAAGCAGAGACTCGAGACAGCCGAGGCTGTCATTCACATCGCTGGATCGCGATGAGGTTCAGGTAAGTATTGAGGGGGCTGGAGGGGATACTGCTCACAGGTTTTTTACCTTCATGCATAGAATGCATGAAGCTAAAAAATTTTGGTTCTGGTTAGAACCAATTTTTGTAAATAAATGTTTACTGGGTTTTG